TAGTGATTTATTCTACAAAAGAATTAGAAGATAAAACTGAGAACATTTTTTAAAAAGTCTAACATGAATAATAATTTAATAAAGGTTAGGAAACCAAGATGAAAAATAGCATTGTAACCACATTTTATTTAAAATAGGGAAGTAAAATCAGAAGCAATGACTAAAAGAGAGGTAAATGATATCTCCGGATTGCAAGGTATATCTGTTTTATTATTTTCATTATTAATTTTAATTTTACATGGTTTACTTCTGCAGCTTGTTTCTTCTTGTTTCTATGGAGTTGGTATCACAAACTTTTTGGAGTTGTCCTTCCTTTAGGCTTTCTGAGATGTCCATATGGCTGTCCCTTGGTATCCAGAGAATTGGTTCCAGAACTCCTAGTAAATATCAAAATCTGAAGGCGCTCAAGTCCCTTATATAAAATGGTGTAGCATTTGCATGTAACCTATCTATCTACACCCTTATATTCACTAAATTTCTTAAACCTAATAAATGAAAATTATTTAAATATTTGGAATATTACTTTGTTTAGGAAATAATGACAAGAAAATGGTATATGTTCAGTACAGAAAAAATTGTTTTTTCAATTTTAATCTTCCCTAATCCAAAGATCTGACCAAAACTTTTTGAGCATGGGATCAGTTCTCAAAAGTGTCACAAACACTGACATCATGCTGAATCAGATTTTGGTGTTTTGAATTCTGAATAGGGACGCTCACTCAGTAAAGTCTATGAAAAAAAAAATCCTAAAACATGAACAAACTCTGAATCTCAGAGTCTTCTACTTTGAGCTTTTCAGATAAAGGATACTCAACCTGTATTTTCTAACCAAGGTTTGTTGAAGGCACAGATGCTGAGTCAGCAGACATGGAAGCCCAACTGTATTGTTCTCAGGTCTGGTTGTTAAATTATTCCCTGTACTGAAGCCTTACAGGTGAGCAGTACCTTCCTCTTCTCCATTCTTGCTGTCTCAAATTCAACTTGTGTTTTTGGGCTACATGTTCTATACTCCTGATCCAGATTTAGCTTATAGATTTTTATATATTTGAAAAACTACAAGTTTTACTCATATAGAACTGAGAATTGCCAACTGAATGATTTTGTTTACTCTGAAGCCAAGTATCCACTCGTTACTAATGTAGGGCCAATAGTACTTATTTCTTGGGTGACTTAGAGGATTCAATGTAAATATTCTATCTGAAGTTCCTAGCATAGAGCTGCATACACAGTGTTTCTCCCTTTTCATAAGCCTTTACTGTAAAAAATGTAGTTCTGCCTGCTGTGATATGGTCTTCTCTTTCTAGTGAGATGTACAGATATGCAGTTATGCAAAGCAAAAAATATGAGAAAAGGAAAAAATGGAAACAAAGTCTTTGTAAATAGGGAGGGGTGGAGGGGTTAAAGGGAGGGCAGGGGAGTGGGAAAAAATAAGAACCAAGATATATCATGTAAAGGTACAAATTCCCAATGATGAATGTCATCATACTGTATACCTAAAATGTACCAATAAATTTAAAGAATAAAAAAATGCCACCTTAAGTAAAGATATCCCCATTTTAGGAATTCTTGATCATTCTGTCAGGGTCCAGGCTGAGATTCACTCTTAGTCTGATGTTATAGAAATGAAAGGCTAAGGTGGAAAGGGGTGAGATGGCATGATCCAATCCAGTTTATGTATAGACATACATTCATGAATATCACTGGTTTTGCTTTATTTGAAGTAGTACATAACTGAAAAAATTGGGGATGTTGAGAGGACAATTGCATTTATTTAGAAAAATATCTATGTTATTTTAATGTCTTATGGCATCCAAATAGATTTTGGGGAAAAAGTCAGAATTTTCTAAATACCATTACACATTCACAAATTTGGTGATTATGCAAGAGCTCTTTGTTTCTAGCTGCTCTGGGTGATTTCTTAATGCCAGATATCACCCTTAGAACTTTCAATTGTATATCAACTTCACATTTTCTCTTTTAAATGTTGGAATTTTTTGTAGTTTTATGTAAGACTTCATGGTTGCTTCCTAAGCTAAGAATGAATTTGGAATTTTCTCAAAAAAATTAAAAAATTTTAATGTTTTATGAGTGTGTAACAGGGAGGACAGTTTGTGGCAGCTGAAGATTAGAATTAAAATTTAACCTGAGGGCCGGGGATTTAGCTCAGTGGTTCCAATGTATGCCTCTGAGTTCCATCCCTGGTACCAAAAAAAAGAAAAAAAAAGCCTGATATGAATATAGTTTTGAATTTATCTCACAGATCATTAGCATACCATGCTTCTTAAAATAAAAATTTAAGACAAAGAAAGCCTTTGGTGCTGTTTCCCATTAACAATACTTTGTTCACTTGGTCAGTCTTTTCCTATGTGCCCAGGGACTTCTAGCATCTGCCCTTCAGTAGATGTTCCTCCTTTCACTTTAGAAGGGGTTGGTCAGAGGGAGGGAAAACTGGAAGTGAAGGGACTCCATCATGTTCTCCCTCTTACAGAGCTATAGTATCAGGCGATTGCTTATTCTTGTGGGTCTTAGTTTTCTTACCTGTAGATTAGAAAAAATAGCATCCATTTTACCAGACTATTTTTAGGGTTAAATTAAATCCTCAATTGCTCGGGACCTACACTACAGAAGAGTACTCTGAGATACATAATGGTAGAAAACTATATACTTTTATTAGCACTTGAGGAGTTTTACAATAAAAGAAACCCATTTAGTTCTGTTAACCTGTGCTGGAATATGCTGAGGCTTCAAGGATTAAAAATCATTAGATCCCTCACCACTTCCTTATTCACACATGTACCTTAAATCTCCAACTTAAATTACTGAGAGGAGCTGGTAACAGTGAGGGTGCATGGGTCGGAGAGTCAGAGGACAGACAGATTAATCATGTCCCCACCAAATTAGATCAAGTCCTTCAAAGGTTTTAGTCAAAAATCATTCAAGAGCTCCAGATGGTTATTCTAAACCTTTGCTTTAAAGAAACATTTTCTACCAGCTAATCTCTTTTGAATTTAAAAAATGAAAAAAAGTCTATTTGCAAACAGGGTGAGAATGAAAGGACTGAGGTGAAGAAAACATTATCAGTTGTACTTAGAATGCATCAAAAGTAGTTAAATTCTCCTTTATAGTGAACAGAAAGGCAGAAAATATGGTTTTACCAGCAAAGTGTTATGTTTTTTCCCTTCCAATAGTAAAAATAATGAAACAATAATAATAATAAAATAACAATAATAAAATAATGAAAACAAAATGCTTTGGAAAAAGAATACAGAGTTAGAAAACAAATACTAAATAAAAGGTTGACTATGGTGTCCGTAGCTAATGAATGAATAGAAACCAAGTGAGAGAGCATATGGACTTTGGTACTGTTTACAGAAAAATGGAGATGATTTCCTTTGCCAGTCACAGCCAAGTTAGAAGCACTGATAATCACACATTGTATTTCTTTTTATATTAATGGTATCAGTTTGATTTGTCATTAATTAAATGGGCAAATTAGGGAATGACTTTTAAGAAACTGCTTTAAAGATAGGCTTATACTATCAGGTTAGATATACACTATATCTCAAGGGAAGCAGGAAGCAAAAGGGAAAATGTGAAATTAGAATGTGATCTATAATAGCCACTTCACTAGCAAAGGTGATATAACCTCCATTAACAAGCAGGGACTAGTTTGATGCCTAATTTCACTGACTGTCTTACCAAATTAAATTAAGTGCAAATAAGGAAATATTTGGCTAGGGAAAGAAGTGTTCTGCCATCTTCCTTCCTATGAAGTGAAAACCAACCCATTAACATGGACTGGGAAAAATAAACTTCAGTACTTTTTTAAAGTAAAAGAAAATTCCCCAAACTGGCTTAACACAAGCATTCAGATATTCTTGTGCTTGTTATATATTCAGAATGGGGAAATAATTGAATTAATTTCTTTCTTTTATCTACCAATATTTAAGTGCCCATTCTGTGCTAGCTCCAAATCATCACTGTATGGGATAAATGATGTCTCTTCTCTGCAGCTGCAAGCTGTCATGGGTCATGGTTTGCAGATTTAGTTGAGAAGTTCTTGCATGGTTCATGTGTGAAGTTAAGAATTCCCTCATAGGAAACGCATCATGATTGCATCTAAAGCATATCTAATTCTGTTTCCCACGTGTATTGTACTTGGAAGCACCAACGATGTATACACTTTCCTGGTCCTCTGGTCTGGCCTCCTGCTACTTATTCTGAGTAAACAGGAACTTGAAGATATGGTGCAATTTTGATACAGGGGCAACAGAGTTTGCTCAGAGCTGTAGAAGAGACAACTCTAGAAGGCTGCTGGCCTTGGAGCAATCAATAGAGTGCAGGGTTCTAAATAGGCAGAATTTGACCTGGGCCAGTTATAAGCTCTCCGTGGCATCAACAAATGAAGGCTGTGGCAAAGGATGCTTCTAGCTCAGATACTCACTTGCAGCTTGTAACAGCATCTGAAATTCTCTCCCAAACCCCTTAGAAATGGGAAGGAAAGTGGTTATTTTTTAAGTGTTTCATAAAACAGGGAATTTGACAAAGAAATCTCTCAGCCTGATCACCTGGACTTTCTTTCTGCTCCCTTTTCCTTCATTCTGCTCATCTGGCACCTGTTTCCTCTTAGCCCCTTTTTACAGTCTCATCATTCCTGGTCTGATAGCATGTCCATGACAGCAGCTGCCATGTGGAACAGACTTTCTTTATTTCTCTGCCTTATCATTTCAAATTTTCAAATGAGTCTATTGTCCTCTACCTATATATTCAAGTCTCCTCCCTATACCCTTTGTGGAAATGATCTTATACCTAAACTTAGGTCCTTCTATTCTAAAATTCACATATCCATATCTTATATAATCTTGAAACTTTTAATTATGCCAGTTCTGTATATATAGTATTTGGATGAAAAATGCCAACCATACAGAAGTCATTCTGTTTTCTAGTAATAATTTACTTGGGTCACACTGATATATAGACTATTAAGAGTTTAAGCATATGGATAGCTGTTAAAAAAGAATGGTGTAATATACTTTGAAACACTCCATAACTGTTTTATACTTGAATGGAAAAATGTAGAAATTATTTAAAAAATCATGTCTCATCTCTTACAGAAAAGGAGTGATACTGTATCACCTAATACATCATATATGTAAGATCATGTTCAGTTATGGATGGGATAAAGTAATATATTTTTTTCCCTTATATGAACCCCCCATTAGGTTCTGGTCAGTAATATTTAAAATATAGAAATCCTGTTTGTTAAAATGCCTTAATTAAAATAGATACTTCTTCCATTAGAAATAGAATTCAAAACTTTTTAGGACCTAACTTTCAAAGACAACATACTTTGGCTGATTTATTGATTGCTGTTTTCATAGATGTGAAAAATATTACCACTGCAATTAGCAAGAACTATAAATGATACATTATTGCAAGTGTTCTAAAAAATCAGAACAAAACTAGTTTATTATAGTTCTGTCTTCTTTATACACCACATGTTGGTGGGTTAAACACAACAAAATTATCATCTTTTTTTAAAAGTGTCTACTAAAGATAAAAAGAATAAAGTAACAATTGACATGTAGTTTGTTACATTAAAAAATCTGATATACATATTTCTATTGCCTGTTAGCTTGTTCTAAGCCTCTTTAACTATTACAAAAAAAGAGGAAGAACTAAAGTCATTGTTGAAAGGCGAACATTCAATTCAGTTGATACAACATTACAGTACAGTCAACTAACATTCAACAAAGGTAACAAGTCTAGTCTTAGCTTCTTGAATTACAAGTCTGTAGACTAGATTGCTACAAAAGGTTCAATGCTGCTTCAAAAGTGTATGTTAGCTTTTTGGAGGACATAGTACTTTCTATTGATGGCTTCTGAAGAAGGGGTCATGCTACTGGTAAAAGCAGAGGGGAACCCCAACCTGTCATTAATCATTTTATTGAGCATTGTAGTTAGGACAGCATTATTGAATTTAGCACAACAACTAAAATAAAATAATAATATAATAATCATAATAATGATAAGAATAAAAACCAAACACTAACTGGAAGCCTAGAGTTGCTGCCAGCCGTGTCAAACCCTTGCGATACGCTATACTAAAAAAATCTGAAATATCCACCCATCCTCCGCACTCTGCCAAAAACTAGCAAAGTCAGAAATACAAAAGTCTCCAACTTGTTACTTTTGCAGAATAAAGCAAAAATGTCTTTGTGCTCCTTACTACCAGAAGCAAAATATTCACTGAGTTACCACATGTAATAGCTTCTGGATGTGTCAACCTGGGTTGGCTTGGTGTCTGCAGAACCATCTTTGTCTTTCTCACTGTCTCCTTCCCAGAGGTTAATGAGTGGTGGGTACAGCTCATTTAATGGGATTGAAGACGTTTTTTGCATATACTTTTTTAGTGAATGATGATAGTTTTTTCTCTTAAATCTTTTGGCAATGTACACAGCAATGGACGCAAGGCTAATGACTGCAAACATGGATCCCATTACTGCAGCAAGGGCTGTACTGGTTTCTTGATCAGAGATGTCCAGTGCGAAGGCAGCATTTTTGGTTGTGACATTTACACAAGACTTTTGAGTCTGCTGATGAATATTGGACACTATGAGACACACTTCATAATCTGTAGAAGGCTGTAGATGTGTTAGGTTGTATTCATGAACATCTACTGGGACCCTGGCTGTATATGTAATGTGGGTATTGTCAATCTTCATGGTAGCAGATGACCATTTTAAGTTTGATGTCATGACATTGGAATTAACTTTCCAGGACACTAAAATGGAATGAGATTCTGCCTGCTTGACATATATTTTCAGCACCTGGGTGCCATCCAGAAGAGTTCCATTAACTTTAATTGTTGCCACTCTAGTGTCTGCCCCTTGGACATTCTGGGCAACACATGTGTATCTTCCAGAGTCTTCAATCTGTATGTTAGATATTTCCAATGTACCTTCACTACTTAGTTTGTACTTATCTGAAAAGGTTTCCAGAGTTATTTTATTTCCAATGGGAGTGACCCAGTAAATTTCAGGTTCTGGCTCAGCCATGGCCCGACAGTCTAGTAAAACTGTTGTGCCAATATCCATATTTAAATGATTTGGGAATGTGTCATGAGATATCATTGGGAGGCACTGTTCGCTTGAATCCTGGATTAAAACTTCCTTCACCTGTTGCCCTCTGTATTCAGGGGGCATAGCACAGAACATGGATAAGGGCTCCATGAAGCGGATGTTTGTTTTGTTGGAGTTAATCCAGTGGATGACACAGTCACATCTGAGGGGATTGCTGTGGATACTGATCTCACGCAAATTGGGAAGGGATTCTACTGTCTTTTGGTAAACAGCATTCAAAGCATTGTTATTCAACATTAAACTTTCCAGGGCAGGAACACTTCGAAAAGCCAAGCGATGGATATAAGATAGTTTGGGGTTATTGGTGGCTTCTAACTTTGTGAGTTCAGGCAGGTTATCCAGGGCATAGCGGTCCACAGAAATGAGTTCTCCCATATTATTTATTCCCAGCTCTTTTAAACGAAGCATGTTTTTGAAATCTCCTTCTTGGATTTTGTGAATGGGGTTTTTGTTGAGGTCTAAGAATTTCAAGTTTGGAACTTTTTGCAGGGCAAGTTGAGGAACTTTGACTAGTTTGTTATCATAAAAAGACAGGCTCTCAAGGCTATCCAGGCCCACCAAAGCATTTCCAGGAATATCAGTGAGATACATTCCTGCCAAAACTAGGCTTCTCAAATTTGAGAGAGGTTTGAAGTTCATATCCAGAATTCCAATCACAGGGTTTTCCCCAATCATGAGAATTTCCAGGTTGGGTGTAGAATCAAACCAGCGACTATCAATAACTTTCAATTTGTTGGAATTCAGGTGAAGCCTTAAAAGATTTTTTAAGCCTGAAAAGGCATTAGCAGAAATAGTGCTAATCTGGTTGTGGTTGATGTAGAGTTCTTGAAGATTGCTGAGGTCCTGCAGACAGAAATCAGTCATCTCTGTAATCTGATTTTCCTCCAAATGCAGAGTAGTAAGCTGGGTCAAGTTTGCCAGTCCTACCTCCTTAATATTTGTAAAGTTGTTTTGGGAGAAATCTAGTTCGGTCAAGTTGAAAAGCTGCTGAAGTTCATCCACAGTCTTTGCAATGTTATTGCTCTGTAAGAGAAGCACTTGTGTGTCACTAGAAAGGTTGCTAGGAATTCTTGTTAAGCGGAGGTCATTACAATCAACAGTGGTGGCTTCTCTGTATGTGGACTGTGGAGTAAACCAGGGACGAATTTCACATACACAAAGTTGTGGACACTCATTATTCAATATGGAAGACTCGGTTAGTGAAGTCATTAGCAAGCTCAGCACCAATCGGCAAACTGCTACTACTACACTTATCCTAGCCATGCCGGCTTGCTGAACAAGCTCAACTTCTGACACTCGTGAGTTTTAACAAAATGTGAACACTACACAGTGAAAAGTAAGACAGTAAGCAGAAAATGTAAACAGTCAAGCAATGTCTTGGTTGAAATGTACAGAATTCCAGAGTCCAGAAGGATGGTTTTCTGGGCTTTTCAAGAAGCAGGAAACAATTTGAAGTCTTTTAACTGTGGTTCTTAATTCCAGGTATGTGTACAAGTCTTCATGTGAGTTACTTCAGCCAAATCAAAGTCCAGAGATGTGTCTGAAAATTAGATTAGGAAAGATGTTATGTTTATTCCATATCTTTTCTACATTGCTACTTTTCTTTTTACAAAAATGGTATAGTCACTCACAAATCTAATAAAAGAAGTATCCAAAATGCATTCAGAATAACCAAATAGGCTTCTAAATATTTTTTACAGTACTGAGCTACATCCCCATCTGTTCCCTCCCTTTCTTAAAGACAAGGTCTTGCTAAGTTGTTTTAGCCAAGGCTGGGTTTTAATTTGGATCCTCCTTTCTCTGCTTTCTAGAGTGCTAGGATTATGTGCATATATCACCATGCCTAGCTTAAATAAGGTTGTAAACTGTAGGACACTCATATCTTTCACTACGCTAAAACTAGTGTTCCTTCACTTTTACAATTTGGACAGCATGTACTAGGGGACAAAGTCATTGAACCCACATATATACATAGACAAATGTACACTCTTACTAGCAATACACAGAAAAGCTTGCAAATGTTATTTCTTTAAATACAAAGATGACTTTAAATACTACATATATTTATGATTCCAAAAAGTTTAAAAGTCATTCCTAGTAAAAGTAAATCACAATAGTTTATTAAAGGCTTAGTGTATTAATTATTTACATTTAATTAATACCTCATTTGTTTTCAGGAATTCTTCCTTTTCCAAATGGTACATTCTGTAAGTCATATTCAGCCAAAGCTTTTCTAGATCTATTTTTTGTAAAAGGTCAATTTAAATTAACACAATTATAAAAAAGACATGTTTTTCCTATATTCTAGTAGCTGCATCTAATCTTGACTGAATAAGTAAAAGGAATCTATTCTGTCATACCATCAGTCTTCATTAAAAACACAAATATATGTGATATAAATATATCTCACATACATTGTTTTATTAATCTCATTGGAATGTCACTGGCAACTTAACAGCTGTAAATCATGGATGTATCACATAATCTTTTGAAGCCATAATTTCTTCAATTTAGAAAATAAGGTTTGTCATAAAAGTGCCTCTTTTACAAAATTACTGAGAATTAAGGGAATCTGTGTAAAGCTCTTGGCATAGTGACTGACTGGAACATATTAAAAGCTCATAAAAGCTAATTATATTTGTTATTGTATCTCTCATCCATTGTATTTTAGCTAAGTAGTGGTTTTCCAAGGACAACTAAAGTAGGAAAGCTGAGGATATTTGATTTTTATTAACCATCATCTACTGGTTTTAATAAGATGCTTTGAGGTCAAATATGTATTGCTCACTGGCTTGTAAAGAACTGGTAGTTAATGTTTCTAGTTTTCTGAATACCAATCAGGTATAAAAAGCTGGGCACAGGGCCAGAGATTTAGCTCAGTTGCACCGCACCTCCCTTGCAAGCGCAAGGCCCTGAGTTCGATCCCCAGTACCAAAAAAAAATGCCAGGCATGGCAGTACACACCTGTAATCCCAGCACTCTGGGTGTCTGAGGTAGAAGGATGGCAAATTTGAGCCCAGCCTGGGCAACTTAGTGACTCACCACTAACTTGTCTCAAAATGAAAAATGAAAAGGGCTGGGGATGCAGCTCAGTGCAAAGGTATTGTGTTTAATCTCCAGGACCAAGAAAAAAAAGGCATAATATACCCAATGTAGTTGTTTTGTTTTTCCAAGATTGGGACAGTCACTTGCAAATTATTAAAAGTAGAGTTAATATGTTTCCTTAATTTTTTTCTTGTCATAATGCACTTCAGCTTTGAGTAATGAAGGAACTTTAGTGACTAGTATTTTCTAGAAAGATCCAATAAAACAGTGCATATAATGTTTTTAAAGTCCAATGTTCAACACAGAACAATATCTTACTTCATGTTATCTTTTAACTTTGCAAAATATAGTTACCTTGTGATTGACCAAAAAGTATAATACAAATAGCCAGTACTTAAAGTTATATAGTTATGTCATATTTTAGTGGAAATGAATATTTTACAGCTTTCTGTTGTTTAAAAAATATTCAAACCTTGTAACTGGCCTATGAGACAAAATCATCCAATCAAGACTCAGGCAAATATGAGATACAATGAATGTGTTGAATGATGCTGGAATCTTGCTAGTCTTTGTGGAGAAGAAATATTTGATCTTCCTCTCCTCCACTTCACCTCCAAATCTGGTTATTTTGCCATCTATTAGGTATTTGCAAAAGTTTCCAATATTATAAAACTACCTGACTCTGACTTTTATCAGAAATTGTATAAAATGAAAACGCACTTCAGAGAATAACAGTTTGCAAATATCATTAACTCTACAAATTTATTCCACTATGTTTCTGTTTGGACTAATCCTAAAGCAAGTGCAAAGGCCACAATAAACATTAAGAAAATTTCTGTCACAGGCTATTCTTTTGTCTTAATTCAAAATAGAAAACCAAAAGAATAAATCTACCTTTCATACTCTTTGAGATGGAATTTCAACTAATTTTTAGGTTTTGATCGAATTTACAAAAATGTCTCAGGAAGTCAAATATATATTTGAGTTGTATGAGAGACTCCCCAAACTGTCTATTACTATTGAAAAATAGCATTTGTGGGGCTTAGTTTGAATATTACCATGAGCAATGCTCCATTTTAGTTTAAATTATATGATTTTAGATAGTTGTATTGGAATATTTAAATATGTCTTCGACATATACACACCTCAACAAACAAGCAAGCAAACAAACAAATCAACTAACCAGTCACAGAAACAGTGTCAGATTATCATACAAAATATAGGAGAAAGACATTTTTTTCTCTCTCAAACCTGAATTTGACTCCTTTGGAAAAAGGAAATCAAATTTTGTAACACAAAAGGAGATGTTTAAGACACACAGATAAATGGAACAGAGAATCAGAAATAAATCTTTCCATATATTGATCTTTGTCAAAATGATCCTTGACAAGGATATCAAACTATACAATGGGGGAAAGGACAGTGTCTTCCACATAGAGTATTGGGAAAAGTATTTCCACATGAAAAGTAAAATGTTGGACCATTAGATTATAACATATGCTAACATGAACTCAAAATGTGTGAATGGCATAACCATCATAGAAAATAATATGGAGTTTTCTAAAAAAAAAAAAAAATTAAAGCAATCACCATATGATCCAGCAATCCCACCTCTAGGTATACATTCAAAATAATTCAAGGCAAGAATTCGAAGTAATATTTGCATACTTGTGTTTATTGTGACATTATTCACAATAACCAAGAGGTGAAAATAACTCAGATATTCACTGACAGATGAGTGGACAAAGAAAATGTGGTGTATATATAGTTGTCTCTTGGTATGTATGAGTTTCATATCTGCAGATTCAAACAACCTGTGATTGAAAATATTTAGAAAAAAATGTGTGTACTGAACAGGTATAGATGGTTCTTTTATTGTCACTATTTCCTTAACATTAACTAGTTAAATAGAATTTGCATCATTGAATTATTATAAGTAATTTAGAGATGATGCAAAGTACTCTGTACAGGAGGGTGTGAATAGATTATATGCAAACATTGCACCATTTTATATAAGGGACTTGAGCATCCATGTACCTTGGCATCAGGGGCAGGGTGGGGAAAGGACTTGCTTGATACCAATCCCAAAGACACAAAGGGATGAATGTACATACAATGGAATATTATGCAGCTTTAAGCAAGGAAGATATCCAGTTATATGCTACAGTATAGATGAAGCATGAAAACACTACTAAATAAGCTAGTCACAAAAGGATAAATACTGTTTAATTTTCTTCTTATAAAGTATCCAAAGGTGTCAATATCATAGAAAAAGAAGGTTGCTAAAAGTTGGGGGAGAGAGTTAGCCTCTAATGAGTACAGTTTCAGTTTTCAAAGATGAAAAATTTCTAGAGATCTGTTGCACAACAATGTGAATATACTTAACACAACTCAACTATATACTTAAACCTGGGAGATGTAAATTTAATGTTATGTATTTTTTACCAAAGTAAAAAAGAAAGTAAATCCATTGTAATTCAGGACAACTTTTATCCTATATGATTATCTTAAATTTTGCAACAAGTAAACAATTACTGGAATAGATTTTTAAAGTAAAATGGCTTTATTTTAGGGCTGACTGGCTAAATCTGTCAAATGTGAGAAAAAAAAGTCCTGCTAATTACCAAAGTGATGTTCCACAAACAAGTCTGACAGTTTTCGGAAATAGTCCCTTAAATAACCAACTATGGCTTTAAAGGTCCAGAATTGGCAGGGGACACATTTCAAAGGAGGCTCACAATTATACAATTACATTTGATAATTTTTTTTCCAATAAGACATGTTTGAGATACTCTCTTCTGAATATAAAATTCCAAAGGCACTGGAATGCATGGTCATTACTATAGTGACCTTGGCGCTGACTCATTTTCCCTATAAGACTCTTTTTGATAGAATGTTAGTTTAACAAAACAATATTTTGCATGGTTTCGTTTTGAGACAAGGTCTTGCAATGAAGTTCAGGCTGACCTTGAACTCACTGTGTAGCCCAGTCTGGCCTCAAACTCACAATGATCCTCCTGTCTCAGCCTCCCGAGTGCTGGGATTGCAGGTGTGTACCACCATACCTGGCTAAAACAACAAAATCTGGTAGAATTTAAGGCATTGTGTTGTTATGGAATTGAGAAAAAAGGAATAGGCACAAGAACCTGATGACTATGTGAATTCTTGCTATTGTTTGAAAAATTAGACAGCTCTGAGGTTGTAGAAAGAACTCTCTGGGAGGACCAAGTAATCTTAATTAAACTCTGACTTCTCCACTTATGGGCTCTGTTACCTTGTACAAACTACTTAAATTCTTCATGTCTTGCTTTTCATAGCTAATATTAAGGTTAATTATAATTGTTTAGCGACGAAAATTATAACTAAAGTAACCTATGTGAAATTGTTTAGCCTAGGACTTTGGAAAAAGTCTAGCCCATAATGGGCCCTCAAATACTTATACGAGTCTCTAGAACTTCATCAAGTTTGATGATCATTGGGAGATAGGGAATGTGC